ATAGAGCATGCTCTTAAGAAGCTTTTTCACTTGAAAGAATGTTGTTATGAACCTTCTAGGTGGCTTGATGAGCAGTACAGAAAGTATCTTAAGTCTAAGTGCCATCCAAGATCACCTTCGATATCCCTAGGCTCTGGTTTGGTATACATGCGTAGGGTCCAAATTACACCATGCAAAGTCTATTTTTGTGGTCCAGAGGTTAATGTCTCAAACCGTGTGATACGCCACTATTCAAAAGATATTAATAATTTTCTCCGTGTGTCTTTTGTTGATGAGGAGTTAGAGAAAATTTATTCAACAGATTTATGTCCCCGTGCTTCTTCTGGGAATGGGGATAGGAGGACTGCTATTTACAAAAGGATTCTCTCTACTCTCCAAAATGGAATAGTTATTGGAAATAAAAGGTTTGAGTTCCTTGCCTTTTCATCTAGCCAGCTGAGGGAAAATTCTTGCTGGATGTTTGCTTCAAGAGACGGGCTCACTGCTGCAGATATAAGAGAATGGATGGGAAACTTTCGTCAGATACGAAACGTGGCTAAATATGCAGCCAGATTAGGTCAGTCTTTTGGTTCATCCACTGAAACACTGAGTGTTGTGTTCCGTAGAAATCAAATTGAAATTCTTCCAAGATATAGAGGCTGAAAGGGGCAGCACCCAAATATTTGTTCTCTGATGGAATAGGCAAAATAATCTGCTGAGTTTGCTCGGAGGGTGGCGTTTGAAATGTGGGCACCAAGGTTTCCTATCCATGCTCGCAATTTCAAAATTCGTATGGTGGGTATAAAGGTGTTTGTGGCTGTTTGATCAACTTCTTCCTAAAAATTATCAATTGAGAAAAAGCATGTGCAAGTCTGAGTCTAAAAATACAAAACTGGGATGTTTTTGGTTAAGCAAGTTAATCAGCCTTGTTTTCTGAACCGCCAAATGAATTACTCTTCTTTCGACCCTTGGTGTTCCGGACCATATCTTTGAGAAGAAACAGAGAGAAGCTGTTATCAACTGATGCCCATTTTAACAAACTCGTTTAAGCCCAAAGAACGCACTAAGATTTGATGCCTCCAAGAGAGACCACTAACCATTCTCAACGAAATGCTTTTGTGTGGTTACAGCCTGAATTGCTGAACCATCAATGATGCTCCAAATGTTCCGAGCATCAAAGTTGCTTGATCTGCGGACAAAATCTAGAATCTTTGTTCCAAATGGAAGATCTATGATGGGATGTTTGGATGAGACAAGAAACTTGGAATATGGCCAGGTATTTGTGCAATATTCTGGTAGTAAACATAAGCAGGTGTATGATAGTTCCACCATGGTTGGAGGCATTGGATCAGGCAACGGTTTTGTGATTGAGGGAATGGTCATTGTAGCTAAAAACCCATGTCTGCACCCAGGTGATATTCGTGTTTTAAGGGCTGTGAATGTACCGGATTTGCACCATATGGTGGACTGTGTTGTTTTTCCACAGAAAGGACCAAGGTATATCTCTGTCTCTTCCAGCCTTATAGCTTAGGTCATTCTTTAGTTACGTCAATTTGGTTTCTGGTTTGAGTTGTCTGTGCCGAAGTTCTATATTTATAACTTAGAGTTCTTAGATTTACTTTTCCAGTTGCAGAGAGTTCTTAGATTTACTTTTCCAGTTGCATTTGCAAAGGGTTCAGATTTGAAAAATATAAAAATCCCTGCTTTTTTCATGCAAGACAGAGGAATTTACCTTTTATCAAAAGAGAACTTAGAGAACTTGGAAATATGCTCTCGTTCTTGGTCTACCTCGACAATATCATTTCTCTTGGAAATATGCTCTCTTCTTGTCTACTCTCCAATATCATTTCTCTATTTCTCCAATGGGTTCTGAACCACAAAGTCCCAACTTCAAAGATAGCTGGACTCAGTTATATAAGAATGAGAGACGGATAGAAAGTTGTGTATGTGCAGCTATGTTCCTATAGATGTTTAAGTTCTTATCTTCTTGGTGTCTTTCACAGCGGATTGAACCTTATAATATTATTGTTGTTATTGTAGTTAATCATTGTTGCTGTTATTATGATGTTCACTGTCCATGTTATCATCATCTATATGATAGTTCTACTTCTGTTGTGTCTGCCTATGTTCAGGCTATTTTGGCCTACTTCTGTGGTATTATTGTAGGAAACTAGTTGAGTTGTGAGATAACTATGTCTGTCACATCAGCTATCTGAATTCTTTTCTGTAAGATAACCACTCCCTTCAATGAACGTAACTGGTATCTGTGTTCCCTTTTATTATTTGACATGTGCAGTAGGCTTCTTGTGGATAACAGTAGAACATACCAATGGAAACTCCTCCTTCCTTAGAAATACCTAGGCTATATTCTGTGGACATTGCTTCATCATCTCTGATTTATTTGTCTGATGAAGCTGATTGACACAGGCAGGTTTGTTATTTGTTGTTTCTATTATTTTTAGGGGGGTTGGGGGGGCGAGTTTGGTGGTTGGAGGATGCAGGGGGAAGACTCCTGTGCTTTGGAATTTCAATTGACACTAACATGGACACCTCACCTTTCTTTGTTTTTCAAGTGCTAACAGAGTAACAGACTAGTATTATAGTGCCCCTTTTCAGATTTTCTTTTTTTATATATATATTTTTTAGTGTGAAAACAGTACTAACATTAGTATCTGAATTGCAATCTTAGACCTCATCCAAATGAATGCTCGGGTAGTGATTTAGATGGAGATATCTACTTTGTCTGCTGGGATCCTGATTTAATCCCACGTCTGCAAATCCCACCAATGGACTATACACCAGAGCCAAGTTTGCAACTCGATCATGATGTCAGATCTTATTGATGTCACAAATTCCGGTACTACCATGTGTACGTAATGAAATGTCCGAGCAATTATCTAAATCATCAATCAATAATACCTATTGTTTCGACTATCTTTTAAGATTATTGCAGTCACTTCAATCAATTTTTTCTCTTTCTATGGTACATTCTGGTATTGTCAAACATAAAGGCTGGCAATTCTTCCAAAAATTACAATCCGTTCCTTAATTTTTTTTTTTTTTCTTTATGACAGAGGATTTTTATTTTGTACGTAGGTTTCAATACTAATAGGTGTTTAAGCTTTTAATGTTTGTTTTCCTTGTGGTGCCTTTTATTTCTGTAAAGATTATGAATGACTTACTCCACCTGCATCTTTTATGTGTCAAAGTCATTTTTTTTTTTTTCTGGATTAGTTTGCTTCTATTGTCCTATAGCCAATATGCCTAATAGACATGCTATGGATTTTTCTTATCTATAATGAACGCAACAACATTTACACAATTTATCAAGAAAAATAAGAAAAGCAGATGGAAAGGAGTTGCGATTATCTGTTTTTCCGAATCTCAGGGAAGCTTGCTAAAAGCAAATTTTGGCCACGGGCCTTTTTAATTTATGTGACTAAATGATATCTTGTACTTTTAATTCTTTTAGCTATCTCATTGTGTGCAATTTTAAGCAATAATCTAGGCCTTTTTTTTTTTGTTCCCCTCTGGGCAACAGTGGCTGTCGTTTTTTGTAAAAGTGGATGCTTCAAACTGACAAACGTAAGGTAGTTTCAGTCCAATGAAGTCATTATTCCATCAACCCTCAATAACTGTCCTTTTTTTTTGAATGCTTTAAAAAAAAAAAAAAAAAAAAAAAAAAAAAAGGAAAGTGATATGAAAAATCCTTTAGAACAGTGAAATCTAGGTGTGTATCTGTAATGCATCAAGTTCTAACACTGCAAAACTCTGTTTTTTGCTTTAGCTTTGAAATTTTTTTTTTTTTTTTTTTTTTTTTTTTTTTTTAATGCATGCAGCTAGAAAAACCACAATTTCCCCTTTTAATTCAGAGGATTTTTCCATTTTTGCTTTCTACAGGCAATTGAGGAGTATTTCACTCAAGGAAGTTGAGGAGTATTTCACCAATTACATGTTAAATGACAGCTTGGGAATCATTTCTAATGCTCACACCGTCTTTGCTGATAGGGAACCTGCAAAAGCAATGAGTAAACCATGTCTGAAACTTGCACGTAAATTTTCAATTGCAGTTGATTTTCCAAAAACTGGAGTACCAGCTGAAATTCCTTCTCATCTACGTGTCAAAGAATATCCTGATTTCATGGAAAAGCCTGACAAACCCATTCTCATCTACGTGTCAAAGAATATCCTGATTTCATGGAAAAGCCTGACAAACCCACCTATGAATCTCAGAATGTGATTGGAAAGCTTTTCCGAGCAGTGAGGGACATCGCACCACATACAAGCTCTATTAAGTCCTTTACTTTGGAAGTGGCAAGGCAGTGTTATGACCCTGATATGGAAGTTGATGGTTTTGAGGATTATATAGATGATGCCTTCTATTACAAAACGAATTATGATTACAAATTGGGTAATCATATGGACTATTATGGCATCAGAACTGAGGCTGAAATTCTCGGTGGAAGTATTATGAAAATGTCAAAAGCTTTCACCAAGAAAAGGGACGCAGAAGCAATTGGTTTGGCGGTGAGGTCCTTAAGAAAAGAAGCAAGATCCTGGTTTAATGAAAAGGGAAGTGGATTAGATTCTGAAGAAGATGATGTTTATGCAAAAGCCTCCGCTTGGTACTATGTTACTTATCATCCTAGTTATTGGGGTTGCTACAACGAGGGAATGAATCGAGATCATTTTCTTAGCTTTCCTTGGTGTGTTTATGACAAGCTGATCCAGATCAAGAGGAAGAGAAGGTGTCAAAATTTATCATTGCTTGAACGCCAGTTTGGGCTTGGACTGCATTTTCATTAACAAATGTGAAATTTTGAACATGTCTATATGTTCATAGTCTTGGTTTGAGTTTGCCAGCTAATCCAGATCAGCGGAACAAATCAAGGATCAACCAGGTTCCTACTTTTTTCTCTTTACACATTTTCCATGTAGATGTGGACTGCTTTTGAGTTTAGAAGGTAATCAAAATATATGGCTATACATATGGTTATGAATATGTAATATTTCAAAGACAATATATGATGTAAATGTTTATGTTCATATAATGGCAGAAGCAGAAATACCTACTTAGAGTTGACAACATTTTTTGATAGGATATTGAAGACTATTGATATTTGCCTGAATGTTGATGCATTATCCATATTTAGGTGGTATATAGCCTTTTCGAGATACATGCTATTCTAGTCGAGCATGATCGGTGTTTGTTTTTTGCTGCAAATAATGGGTACTGATAATTTGAATGTTTAACAACATTTATTAGTCAGTTTTCTGGTATGTATAACAAAAGCTGCACTGCTAATTGCTGATATGATAGCTTTTGATTATAGCGATTTTCGTTTCAGAATAACAGTTAATTGAGATCCTTTTCCATTGCTTGAAAATAACGAGGGCGTAGCTTCATGCATTCTCTCGAGGAACCGTTCAAACAATTCATTAACAATCTCAGCTCCAAAGTGTTTGGTAATGACTGGTTCTAACCCAGATTTGAAATGCATCATGATTGTGTATTCAGTAGGTTGATTATCAGGGTCGAATTCGCAATCTGTAGGATCCATTCTTTCAATGCTAAAACACCCACTTTGTTCTATAAGCTGTGTAAGCTCCTTGGGCGTTACACAGTACAATGGAATGTTGAAAGAGTCCACAAGTGCTTCACATATTAATCCCTGCAATCGGGATTTTGATTTGGTTATTTACATGTTTTAAATTTTTATGGGGTTTCACTGATAGAAGCATAAAGAAACATCAAAGCTACGTACATAAGAAAAACAGAAACAAAACATTAAAAAACAAATGATGCAAAAGAACCCTCAATTGTTAATATTTAGCTTTTCAAATTGTTATTGTTAATATTTAACTATTGATCAACCATCATTAAAAGCTGATTTTCCATTGCCGAATCAAGCAGATCCCTAAATCTATGATTTCATATAATCCACTAGTCTAGTCTGTTTCTATATTGTTACCTCTTTTGCCATGTCCATGAGGCACGACCCTAAATGATTCAGCAATATCCCGATTGGTACATTTGACGGAGAGACCCCATCAGGAATAGAAGGAATGATTAGCACCATCATGCTTCCCTCTGCAAGTTCTTTTGCTCTGGCATTCAAGAACATCCCCATATCCTTGCTAAATTGGGCAGCAAAGTGCTCTGGCATTCAAGCACATCCCCATATCCTTGCTAAATTGGGCAAGCAAAGGCTTTTACTACTGCTTCCTGATGGCACCTGTATAAGTTGAACTCCTCCTCCGTTCCATGCCAGGAGAGTCCTGTCCAACACCTTCTTCAGGAACTACCAGAACAGCCAATGTAAGATGTCAGAGGAATGCAACAAAATGGAGAGAAGAGTGCAGGAAAACAACTGGGTTATGATATGACCCTGGTACTATCCTCCTGCGTAAAATATTTCCTTCGAGGGTTGGGAGAGCTTTGCAAAGGGTATTAAAGTCGTTAAATGGAAGATCATTAAAGAAAAACTGAAAACTGAGGTGGGAGAGACTTGAAAAGGGTATTAAAGTCGTTAAATGGAAGATCATTAAAGAAAACTTGAAACTGAGGTATTTGATCGTAAGTGAAGCCTTCATTTATGAACTTTCGCTCCACAGCTTCAAGTATACTATGAACATAGTAAAAGGTGTTTGGTCCTGTTGAACATCCCATATCAGCTATACAAAATGCCTTGCTACATGAAGTTGATAAAAATGACTTCGTTTCAAGCTTCTCATGGATTGTCTCATCAATTATTCCCTTCAAGAATTCCAGAATCCATTTCTGCAAAAACGACTTTAAACTTAATCTTAAAATACAGAAGTTTCTGCTATCTTCTCTAAATATTTTTCAACAAAAAGAGAACACTACAACCACTTGGTGATTTAGAAAGTAAAATACCTGATGGTGATTGAGGGAGCCCTTGGCAGCAGGCATCTCGACGCCTATTTTCAACTCTTCTTCTCTCTCACCTCCATTTTTGCATATTTCGAAGATTTATATTTATATGTATATGGAATTAGCCGTCGTCATAACATAGATTCTTTATGTCCAAAAGAATGACATTTTCAAGTAACTCTTGCTGTATGTCTTGTAGTCATCATCAGGCATAAAGAATAAGTTTTAGACAACATCGAAAGTAAAATTCAATTTTTAATTTGCAACAAAAAAAATATATATATATTGTGATGCATTAATGGTGAAAAATAATAACTGAGAAGAGGTAAACTTAAAACTACCTGAAGAGAAATTGTTTCAAAATATCTACTATTCTTGGATATCAGTACAGATTTAGCTATAAACAGGTCAGAATGAAAACAAAAGATTCGTATAGTTTATTAATGTTTGATTGTAGCTATAACAAAAATATGTATATATACAATTGAATTTATATTTATTTTTCTTGTCTAACAGCATAATTAAGTGTGTAGAAAATTTTCACAGTTACTATTTTACTTGGAAGGTATAGTTTTAACTGGTAGCACTAGTTCGACTGGTTAATTATGCTATTTTGTACTTATTGGGAACTTGTTTACTAATTGCTATGCCATTGACAATTTCTGATGCCACTCAATATGTTCTTTTATGTTCATATAGGGGACGACCAAACTCTTGCTTTTTCAGGATCTACAATTGCAATGCCGTTTTGATTTGTTAAAAGTCTTTGCATGTCTGTATTTTCCTAGTCAGGGAATTAAAATTTCGACTTGGAGGCTTCACTTTGATTACTAGCAATAATTTGATACTTTCGGTTATTATTATTAGTATTACTTATTTATGTTTCACAGCTTCAATCTTTTAGCATTATCAATGGCTTCTCTCTGCAAATATAGACGACATTGTTACATTTTTGTGCTAGAAAATGAGAAAAAGCAAATTCTTCTAAACATTTTCGGCAACACTTAGTAGAAACATATACATACACTAAAAAAAAAAAAAAAGGAAAAAAATGAAAAAAATGAGAAATGTAAAATTAAAAACTGTAAACATAATTTAGCAAACCTTTGACAAAGTGGCTAAGCATCCACACTGTGGTTTCTATTCAAAAGGTATGTGGGTTACATTTATTTTTAACTTTTTCCTCCTAAGCAGCAGCATAGAATGAGATGTTTGAAGTCTATTTGAGAGTGGTTTTGTGGTTTTATAAAGCCTGAGTTGTGGCGTTCTATGGGCGGACTATATGACGGCGGCGAAGTCTAGTTATAGCTTTCCCAAATAGTAGAGACGGAGTAAATGGGTCCTTGTTGATTGGCATTGTGAAGGAAAATGAGAAGGAACAATCTACACAAACCAAGTTTTTTGTTAGATCTTTGTCTTTTGATAAATTGGGGTTAGATTTTGGTCTTTTGATAAATATTTTTTTCTTGGGGAAATAATTTCAAGCTTCAACCTTCCACAGTTCCAAGAAGGGCAGGACGTCTTCCTCGCAACTGGGATCAGAGTAAAATTGGGCTAATTTGTGGTGGTGGGAGGAGGAAGACCATAAGAAGGGTTTAGACGAAAGAAAAGCTCGAGGGCATCCAACTTTTTATTTTAAAATAATTTTCTCTCCTGTTTTTTTTTTTTTTTTTTTTCATCTTTTAAACCGGAGCGACAACACATATTTTTTGAAGGGAAGGTCGACCGGGAATCAAATCATGAACGAACTAAATATTTAATTACAATGAAATAGGAAGATAGGAGAACAGATAATTAATTTTGTAAAACTCAAATTATAAATAATTATTTCCACAAAACAACAAACAACCACACACCGAAAAGACGAGTTTGCAATAGCTGAATTGCATAGCTGTAATCGCCATCTCCTCCATTCATTACACATGCATGATTCCGCCATTAACATTTCCGAAAAAGCTTTAAATAACTCAGTTCTCTCAATAATGAAGCAACTGTTTCTTTTTACAAGTTCTGTCACCTCCTTAGCAGATGGAATATAAAAGGGGAGATTGAACGATTCCACTTGCACTTCTCTCACCAATCCCTGTGCATGTTTAAACAAAAATGGATTAATTACAATGGAGAATTTCTTTATGGGCGAGCTATAACTTGGAAGGTCATGAATTTGAATTGAAACATTCAAAAATAAGGGTAAGATGCAAACAATGGAGAACCTCCCAAAACCATATAATAAGATGCACAAAGATATCAAATTTTACAATAAGATTACAGTATGATGAAGTATAATTGTAATAGCTGATATAATTAAATGTATTTTTAGTACAATCACGAGTTCTGAAACTGACCTCTCTAGCCATGTCCATGAGGCTAGATCCCAGAATATCAAACGACACATTAAAATATTCACAAGAATGAGAAATCCCATCATGGATAGTTGGCACCATGATTAATATAATCCCACCAACCACAAGCTCTTTGGCTCTAGCATCCAAAAATATCTCCATATCCTTTTCGAACTGGGTGGCATATGCTTTGCATACTTCATCTGAGGCATTAGTGTAGAAAATTCTGCCCTTGTTCCAAACAGGAGAGTGGTTATTTAGAATCTCTTCTGGCATCTGAGATCTGAGATAGCCAATGCAATGAAGTGGAAGTATGCATTAGATGAAGAGAGGACCTGGAGAATAAACGCCCAAGGAATGAACCTGGCACGCCAGCAGCAAAGTATCCCCTTTTTGGAGGGAGAGATCTAAATAGAGTATTGAAATCATTCAAGACATGATCATTGAAGAACACTTGAAATTCAGGAATTGGGGAAGCCAGACCTTGAGATTGACACTTATATTTCACTCACTTTATATTTCCACTCACTTATATTTCACTGCTTCAATAATATTTTCCATACAAATAAAGGTATTTGGCCCAACTGAACATCCTAAATCCGCAATATTAAATGAACTTGAAGGACCAAAAATAAGATCGTTTATGTTCAGATTACGAGCAATTGCCTCATCAATCAAACTTCTAGCATTATCAATGACTTCCCTCTGCAAATAAAGATCAAATAATGCGAAAAAAAAAAATATATATATTTTCCTTTGAGCATTTTCTCTAACATACAAAATGAGTACCTGAAATGAGGAATTGTTAGATTAGCTATTGTGGTCATCTCTGTTGAAGTGCTGGCATTCTGTTTCATCAAATATTTTTCTGTTTTATCAGTTTTCAATAACACGGCTGGAGTTCCTAATTTCCAGCCTTAGAATCTCAGTTTATTGTTTTGTGTTATTTGGATTCTATTATTTGAGGAGAATCTGTTATTTCAACTTGTATAAATTCTCAATTACATTGAAGTGAAAGATCATCTTCTTCCTCTCATATTTTTTTAATCTTTTAAATTTGTTTCTGAAATTTGTTTCTGCTGAAACTCTCATTAATTTAGCGGATACATTGTTTCAACAGTGGTATCAGAGCCACATGGTCTTTTCGGGACCTGCCTTTTAAACATTTAAACCTTTTAAACCTTTTAAACCAATTTTTTTAAACCGTCTCTCAATCCCTTTTCTCTCAACCTTTTAAAACCAAAACCAGCCACACAAAAATATGGCCTCCAGTAACCTTTCTATCAACCCTCCTGAAATTTTCACAGGTGAAAACTACCAAATTTGGTCAGTAAAGATGCAATGCTATTTGGAAGCCTTTGATCTTTGGGAAATCTTTTGGGGAAATCGTTACTGAAGACAAAAACCAATTATCCTCCTTACCCAGAGATCCAACTCTAACTCAATCAAGCACAATCAGATGAAAAAGCCAAGCGATCGAAGGCGAAACAGCTTATCCAAAATTCTGTCCGTGAGCGTTTTTTACAGAATTAATGCTTGTGGCTTGTAAAACTGCAAAAGAAGCTTGGGATAGACTGAAACAAGAATATCAAGGCAGCGATAGAACAAAACAAATGCAAGTGTTGAATTTAAAGAGGAGTTTCGAGGGCTTAACCATGCAAGAAGATGAAACTCTTGCCAAGTATACTGATAGAATTTCTTTGATTGTTAACAATATTAGGCTACTTGGTGAAGATTTCCCCGACAATCGAATTGTCGAAAAGGTACTTGTGATCCTTCCTGAGAGGTTTGAGTCAAAAATCTCTTCTCTAGAAGAGTCCAAGGATCTTAATAACATTTCATTGGCTGAATTGATGAGTGCTCTTCAAGCACAGGAGCAGCGAAGACTTTTAAGGCAAGACAACACTTTTAAGGCAAGACAACACCATAGAAGGGGCATTTTCTATGCATAAACAGCATGCTGAAAAAGGCAAGAAGAGTTCTAACCAAAAGAACAAAGGCAATAAAGAAGGGTCCAAACAGGAAAAATATCAACCTTGTTCTCATTGTAAAAAAACTACTCATCTTGAAAAATTTTGTTGGTGGAGACCAGATGCAGTATGTGGCAAATGCAAACAACATGGACATGTTGCCAAGGTCTGCAAATTAAAGAAAGATGTTCAAACCCAATAAGCACAAGTGGCGGATGATGTAGATGTGCAGGAGGAGCAAGCTTTTATGGCTTTCTGTCTTTCCAACGATGAACCGGAGGTACATGAAGAGCGAGCTGTTGTTGCTTTTTGTTTTTCTATTGATGGTGCAGGTGATTTGTGGCTCATTGATAGTGGGTGCACTCATCAAATGTGCAAAGATGATTCTGTATTCAGCACTCTTGATGAAACTTATAAATCTAAAGTGAAGGTGGGTAACAGCCAATATATTAAAGTTGAAGGTAGTGGTTCAGTTACTAACCAAACTCAATCAGGTATAAAAACAATTTCTGATGTTTTATATATACCTAAAATCAGCCAAAATCTCTTGAGTATTGGACAGATGATGGAAAAAGATCATGCTTTTGAATTTAGAAAGCGGAAGTGCACAGTTTTTAATCCTGCAGGAGAAAAAATGTTCTCTGTAACAATGAAAAACAGGAGTTTCTTTATCAATTGGGAGGAAACTGATGAGCATGCATTTACTGGCACCACCTTGAGTAAATCAGACTTGTGGCACAAAAGGTTTTGGCACAAAAGGTTTGGGCATTTCAATCAGGAAGTTTGTTGGAGATGAAACAAAAAGATTTAATCATAGACATGCCTACAATTAATCTCGTCGATCAAATTTGTGAGAAATGCCAATTTGGAAAACAAGCGAGGATGCCGTTTCCGAAAAAACAAGCTTTAAGAGCCACTCAAAAACTTCATCTCATTCACACTGATGTGTGCGGACCCATGAAAATTGCTTCCCTCAGTGGTAACAATTACTTTATTCTTTTTATTGATGATTATACCAGGATGTGTTCATAGTTTTTGGAGAAAATGATTACAGAAATCATCGATTCTTCAATCGTTCTCAATGTTGAAGTGCTGGAATTCTGTTTCATCAAATATTTTTCTGTTTTATCAGTTTTCAATAACACTGCTGGAATTCCTAATTTCCAGCCTTAGAATCTCAGTTTATTATTTTGTGTTATTTGGATTCCATTATTTGAGGAGAATATGTTATTTCAACTTGTATAAATTCTCAATTTAATTCTCAATTACATGAAGGTATAAAGATCATCTTCTTCCTCTCCAATTTTTTTTTAATCTTTAAATTTGTTTTCTTCTGCTTAAACTCTCATTAATTTAGGCAGATACATGTTTCAAGAATCTCCCTCTTTCATCGATATGATTCCACATTGACATTGTGGCTGTGCTTTGGCTCGTTTGTCTCTGTAGTAAGCTATGGGATGGTGGGTGGTTATGGGATGGTGGTGGTGAGAATTTTCGCGATCTTATCTTTTTTACATGTATTATTATCAAAAAACTGTGTTAAAAAATTATTGTCAAAAGGGTTGTAGCCATAAAGAGTAGGGTTTTGATTCAAACTGAATCAAATCAAGGCAAAGAATACTAACCGAAGTTTTTGGACAATAAATCAAATCAAACTGAAAATGGTATCTGTAACATATCAAACCAGTTGGTTCAGCCGGATCTAATCTGTTGCCATATCGATTCGATTTTAAGTTAATTGATGAATTTCTGTGTAACTGACTTGAACAAAGTAATAAATTCGATTTCAACTAAATAAACCGATAAATTCGATTCAAGCCAATCACTGATCGAACAAAATCAGAATGTGTAGGTTTAGTTTAAGATTCGATTCGATCTATTGTTTTGCACATCCCTAGTAAAGAGTGGAATTTTAAAACTTTGAAAAGATAAACTATTTTATTTTTCATATAAATCAAAGCGATTTTGCGTTAAAAGATATATATATAAACATGAGCATGGCTTTCACTCTTAACGCAAAATCACTTTAATATTTCTAAAAAAAAAAATCAATTTATTTGATATCGAGCCAATACTATAACCTTGATAAGCTTAAAGTTTCCGAAAGATGCTGAAAGACATAACCAACCCAACATAATAACAGCTCTTCTAGCTAATAATTTCATCATAAGTATCGGACCATTCATGTCCATATAATAACCAAACATTAACATTAATCCATGTTGCGTTTATGTCCTTTTATAAATTCTTTTGCCTAACTATTATTAATATTTTTATAAATTAATATTAGCTTGGCTAACAGACAATGATACCAACAGCAAGAAAACTCAGCTATCCTCTAAGTGCATAATTTCATAAAAAATAAAAAATAAAATAAAAATAAAATAAAAATAAAAAAAAAAATTACAAACCATGTACCGAATTAGGTAAGCGTAGAGATTTTCTCCGTTCACATGATAGAACACTCATGCATTTTGCTTAAAGGACTTGAGCTCTTTCCACTTAGACCAATCCATTGGTTTTATTGGACTTTCAATGTTATAATAGGATTTAATATTTATTCAAATATATAATCTCTCCTGTCTACACAATTTTATTATCAATATCAACTCTTACAATGTGTTGCTGACTTATTTAACATTGAGAAGCAGGTCTTGCCCATATCAACAAGAAAACTTTAGAAAGAAAATATGCTTGTAAATTAGAATACAGCACAGAGAATTGATCACGCACGTTTTAGAGCAAGAAATACTTGAGAAGTTTCTGCTAAGCTGGCCTGCAACTGGGAAGACAATTCTTGCGTCTTCTTAAGAAACCGATCAAACAATTCATCTAGAATCCCACTTCCAAAATTTTGGCTAATAATTCCCTCCAAGCCAGCTCTAAAGTGCTTTGTCAGTGCTTGCCCGTCGTTCAAAACATCAAAACCAGATAAAAACTTGTATGATTCAATTCTCTCAATATTGAAACATCTGTTTCTTTCTACAAGTTCTATCATCTCCTTAGCATGCGGAATATACATGGGCAGATTGAAAGAGTCCACTTGTGCTTCACTCACCAATCCCTGGTTAAAACAAAAATCAATTAATAAGGTTACTTTGCAATAAGGTTATTTTTGGTGCTTGATAGCGAATTGAAACTAGTGAAATCGAATGTATTTTTAGTATAAACATGAGTTCTTAGGCTGACCTCTTTAGCCATATCCATGAGGATAGATCCTAGAAGATCAAACAACAAATTAAAAGATTCACAAGAATGAGAAATCCCATTGGGGATGGTTGGCACCATGATCACAATAATCCCACCAACCACAAGCTCTTTAGCTCTAGCATCTAAAAATATCTCCATATCCTTTGCAAACTGGGTGGCATATGCTTTGCATACTTCAGCTGAGGCATTAGTGTAGAAAATTCTGCCCTTGTTCCAAGCAGGAGACAAACTTGGGTGGCATATGCCTTTGCATTACTTCACTGAGGCAAATTAGTGTAGAAAAATTCGCCCTTATTCCACAGCAGGAGAATTCCTTCTCTAGAACTTCTTCTGGCACCTGAGATAGCCAATGTAACTGCAGTGGGAAGTATGAATGAAAGAACAGAGGACCTGGGAAATAAAACGGCCGTGGCAGAAACCGGGCACAACCAGCAGCAAAATATCTCACTTTCTGGAGCAGAGATCTAAAATAGAGTAAGAGATCTAAATAGAGTATTGAAATCATTCAAGACATGATCATTGAAGAACACTTGAAATTCAGGAATTCGGGAAGCAAGACCTTGAGATTGACACTTATATTTCACTGCAAATAAAGGTATTTGGCCCAACTGAACATCCCAAATCCGCAATATTAAATGAGCTTGAAGAACCAAAAAGGAGATCTTTTATGTTAAGATTATGAGCAATTGTCTCATCAATCAATCTTTTGGCAGTATTAATGGCTTCTCTCTGCAAATGAAGATCAAATAATGAGAAAAAACTGTCTTTTAAACATTTTCTCTAATATACAAAATCAATACCTGAAAGAAGGAATTTTTGTAGTAGCTGTAGTCAGCATCTCCTCCTTTCATTGGATATGATTCAGCCATTGTCTCTGTATAAGCTATGCAATGACGATGGTGGGAATTCAAAAACCCAACCTGCTCTTATATGCTCATTAATAGAATTTTCGCAATCTTGTCTTCGTTATTACCAAAATTTGGTGCTGAAACAGATTGCAGATGGCAATGACGGTAACAACTTCATCATCACTGACATCATGAACTATCCAGAACTTGTTGAATAATTATACTCTCCAGAAGTTGTTGAATAATCTTAGTAGCAAAATGCATCCAGAACTTGTTGAATAATTATACTCTCCAGAAGTTGTTGAATAATCTTAGTAGGAAAATGCAGAAGACATAACTTTATTATTAGACTTTTTATCACTGTCGATTAATCCAACCGTGACTGGTCTAGTGTAGTCGGTAAGTATTCTTAGACAGAGTTAGAAATTAAACTGAACGCAACAAGTCGCTTCAACTGGTTTATTTTTCAACACTAACGGTTGAGCGAATCAGAAGAAAATAAAAATCAAAATGAAAAGCAAAATAATTTGAATAAAATAAATAAATCAACAAAAAATAGCCACGGCTATATGAGAGGATTTGAGAGATTCGGTGGGGTTATTGAGATGATTTAATTAAAAAATTAAAAATGTTGCTGATAGATAAGGTTGTTCGATAACGTTTACTTATGTACTATTTCAAAATAAAATTTTGATAAAATGAAAAACAAAAATTTCAAGGTCTATACTGCTCATATCATCAATAGCAAACTGTGACAGAGAAGGGAGCATATTGAAGCCAATTATTAACCATTTCAAGATCCACATTGCTTATATATATTCAAGTTAATTCAAGGAAAGCCAAAAGGGTAATCTTTCCACTGATGAGATTTCCAAATGAAAGCAACTTGGGGATTGCTTTGTTCTAAGATCCCGGTAATTTAAATGACTGGTGTCAAACGGGGAAGGATTCAGATTTCCAGACTGGAAAAAATTTCCTGTTTGATTATGCCAGCTGCAAGAGAATAATTATAAGGATTTCAGAGGTCAAGTTTGGTGACCTGTTGCATTATAACATTCTCCTCCTTCCCATTTACATCAGTCTCGCCCACTAACCCATGTTGAGAGCCGATTTTGAGGACCCATGAGAGCTTGCTTGAATGTATAAAACAGGCATTTATCTCTTTCTCATGGCAACAGATGCTTGAATTAGCATTGCAAAAGCTATAACTGATTAATAAGAAAGTTAGAAACTAAATCAAGAAAATTGAAAACCAGTTGGCCCTCCACTTTGATAAAACCAAAAAGAAAACAACTACTGCCCATTTAATCACACGATAATTGTATTCTGCGCTGGCGTGTTGTCGTAATTCAGAAAACTGATTTTTTAAACAAAAAAAGAATGTTTTTCCATTTTATCCTTAAATAGTCGCTGCAGCACTGCCTCCGATCGGAATTCCGATGAGTGTTTATCGACTGTCGAGTTCTGCAAGCCTCCGACAATTAAACGACTTTCCTACCGCATACTATTTTCAAATTTCAAACACGACGGTTCGTTCGAAAGTTGTCTCTTATTCATTGAGCGACGTCTGCACTCTAAGATCCACGTCATCATTATACAACCACGTTCACAAAATATGCCATCCATTATGAATCTTCCGACGATAACGTCCATGCTAGCAGTCTCATTTGTCCACTTCATTGTCGAATAGCGTCACGGCAATGCCAGGTGGCAGAGAGTGCCACCAACCGCAGCCACATCATCTGATTCGATCAAGCTGTCGTCCACGTGAGAGGATAGAACCACGTAAGCGGGCCATATCAGCACTGCATGACACATTGAAGTTAAAGTCACGTTATAAGCCGACACGTCAATAGGTTGTGCCACGTTGTTGAAAACTGACAGGTGGCAGCCGTAATGCCATTTAAACGCATCCACATCATCCGAAAAGATCCAGTTTCTCATTAGAGCCATCTAGGTGATGACATGTTCGCATACAATGTCACGTGGAATTGGCGGCCACGTCACATTGCTGAGCCACGTCACACTGCTGAGCCACGTCGACATTGGTGGCCAGGCGGGACTCTAGCACGTCCACGTTGTAACAACTCAGACACGAAGGCACTATCATGTCAGTATACCTACCATGTGGCATCTGCAGCCACGTCAAATCTGTCATTTCACTTTGTTCTTCACATCTTCGGTAACTGCTAGTTGTCAGACCAGCTGTTCTCCACGTAGAACTTGGAGCCATGTCGGCACTGCCATGTTGGCATATCGGAACACATAGATGTTAAGGCACGTCCTTAGCTGAAAAGTTGCCATATTCTGACACGCGTAATGAAGCTGCCAGCTGTCATCCACGTGGACACAATAGCCACGTCATTCTGAAATTGCCAGATTTGATAACACGTGGAGAGAGGAGCCACATATGGTCCGCCATGTCAACAAATCGAGACACATGGCTACTGACTCCTCATCTAAAGCTAACACATCAACATTTTTGCCACATCGTTGGTAACTGCCAAGTGGCCTACCAGCTGTACTCAACATGGAAATATCGAGCCACGTGGTAACGAATTTGCTAGATGTAAAGCCACGTCGACTGCAGCCACATAGCCGATGCCATGTCAAAAAGTGCTGAAAGGTTAAATCCACATTATTGATGGAGAATCACGTGTCAATCCATTGAAAACTGTCACGTCGTTAGAAACTCTCATTTCATCTTTGTCCATGTCACCAATATTACGCCACGTCATTGATTAGAGTCGCATGTCGTCCACCTACAAAGATATTGCCCCGTCATTAAAATATCCAATGCTCTGGCCATGTCGTCATCACAAATTCCACGTGCCCGTGCATGTGTAGGTGAGCTGCCACATGGAATGACGCCACGACATAGGATTAGCGCCAATTGGATTGCACATGGATATTGCTTGCCACGTCATCCTAACAAAATCCAGTTATTGAATGGCACGTCATCAACAGGACCTAGGTGTCTTACACGTGTAGACATACGCAAGATGGACACGCCATGTCATCGATAATCATTTGACAGATGTTCCCACGTAACAGGTAACGCCGGCGCATCTTCAACCTCTGTTGCCTCTGGAGCGAACTTTTTGGCTGCAGACGCAATTTTTAGCAAAATCTGATTCGAATTTCTGCAAATCAATGAATTCCTGTCAAATCGGCGTTCAGGAGATCTCGCTGGTAGTTTGCTTTGCTTAACAGTCAAGAACCAGAAAACAACAAAAAAATGGATGAATTTGGTAGTTCAAGAAACTCGAGAGACTTGCAGTTCCCGGTTTCATCTGGAATTGAGACTTGTATTTGAATAAAGCCGACGAAGACTTCAGGGAAGGGAAATGGAATAAATATTGAAGCGCATGTTTCTTTATACAAGTGGCAGTTTTCTACAAGTTCTATCTTCTTATGCATAGAATTGTTGTTTTTTATGGGTGAGCTGCAACTTGGAAGGCCATGAGTTTGAATCAGTGATAAGGGCAAGATGCATACAAAAGAGAACCTCCAAAATAAACTAAGATGTTTAGTGAACTGTAATGAAATATATAATTGATATAATCAAATACATTTTGAAAATAAGCATGAGTAGACTAACCTCTTTAGCCATATATATCAAAGAGGCTGGATCCCAGAAGATCAAAAATCAATTCACAAGAGTGAGAAACCCCATTACTGATGCCTGGCACCATGACCACTATACTCCCACTGACCACAAGCTCTTTAGCTCTAGCATTCAAAAATATCTCCATATCCTTTGCAAAATGGGTGCCATATGCTTTGGATTAAAACACGTGTAATTGATTAAATTACCATTTCATCAGTTCTCTAAATAATTATTAATGCTTGCTTAGTGAAGAATGGAGCTATACAGAAATAAGGATAATGTTAAATAAAAATAATTACTATTTGCTTAATTTTCTAAAGTGACACGTAAAATGGACAACCCATATCCCATACTCAATTTAATTATCAACACAAATACTCTACATTGCTTTTTGACTTATTTAACATTAACAAAAAGTCTTGCACACATATGAACACTAAAACTATAGTAAGAAAAGAAGCTTATAAAGTAGACTACATCAAAGAAGATCATACATGCTTTAGAACAAGAAATATTTTCAATTGAACTGGCCTGCATTCGGGAAGAAAATTCTTGTCTCTTTTTCAAAAATCGATGAAACAATTCATTTATAATCTCACTTCCAAAATGTTCGCTAAGAATTCCTTCCAAGCCAGCTCTGAGTTGCATTGTCCATGCTTTCCAATTGGTCGGATCATCAATTACAGATATAGGTTTAAATAACTCAATTTTCTCAACACTGAAGCTCATGTTTCTTTCTACTAGTTCTATCATCTCCTCAGCAGATGGAATATAAACGGGCAGATTGAATAAGTCCACATGTGCTTCACTCAACAATCCCTGTGCAGGTTAAACAAAAATTGTTTAATACAATTGACAATTATTTGATAAAATTACAGTTCTTCATGGCGAGCTATATATTACTTGGAAGGGCATGAAATAGAATCAATGTCAAAAATAGGGCAAGATGCATACAATAAAGAACCCCCCAAACCCTCATGAAGTAGGGAGTTTCAAACACTAAGATGCAATAAGATGTCCCATTTTAAAATAAGATTATGTTTCATATACTGTAATGAAGTATAGCTGATTTAATTAAATGCATTATGAGTATAAACACGAGTTCTTAGACTAACCTCTTTAGCCATATCCACTAGGCAGGATCCCAGAAGATCGAACATCAAATTAGAGAACTCACAAGAATGAGAAACCCCATTATGGATGCCTGGCATCACAATCACTAAAATTCCACCAATCACAAGCTCTTTAGCTCTAGCATCCAAAAATATCTACATATCCTTGCATACTTCATTTGGTGCATTAGTGTAGAAAATTCTGCCCTTGTTCCAAGCAGGAGAGTTCTTATCTAGAATCTCTTCTGGCACCTGAGATAGCCAATTCAATGCAGAGGAAGTATGAACAAAGTGAAGAGAGGACCTGGGGAATAAACGCCCATGGAATGAACCTGGCACGCTAGCAGCAAAGTATTCCCTTTTTGGAGGGAGAGATCTAAATAGAGTATTAAAATCATTCAAAACATGATCATTGAAGAACACTTGAAATTTTCAGGAATCTCGGAAGCAAGACCTTGAGATTGACACTTCTTTTTAACTGCTTCAATAATATTTTCCATACAAATAAAGGTATTTGGCCCAACTGAACAACCCAAATCCGCAATATTAAATGAGCTTGAAGAAGCAAGAAGGAGATGTTTTACGTTAAGATTATGAGCAATTGTGTCATCAATCAAACTTTTAGCATCATCAATGGCTTCTCTCTGCAAATAAAAATCAAATATGTTATATTCTTTTTAGCATTATAAATGCTAGAAAATGAGTAAATATATTCTTTTAAGCATTTTCTCAAACATATATTAGACATATATTTATGTGTATAGAATACACAAACACAAAATCAGTACCTGCAAAGTGGAATTTTTGGAGTAGCTGTAGTCGCCGTCTCCTCCATTCATTGGATATGATTCCGCCATTGACGTTGTGGCTGTGCTTTCGCTCGTTATCTCTGTACAAGCAAAGTGATGCCACGAGGAGAATTCAAAACCCAACCTTTATTTATAAATGTTAATTTCTCTACCTGTTTCCCATGGGAACCATTTTGTAATTGAATTATCGCAGTATGAGCTTTGTTTATTTGTGTTGTGATCAATATTTGGAGGCTAAAAAAGATTAGAGACAAGTATTGTGATTAATAACTTCGTCATCACCGACATCATGCACTCTCCAGAAAATCTTGAATAACAATGTAATTAATTCAGTATAGTATGCAATTATTAATTTTATTTTCAACATATATTTCAAAACGTGTAATTAAAAAAATTAGCAATAATCATTAAGGTTATAATTAATGAAATTAATTTCACCATTACTTTAATCATTAAATAAATTGATATTTATAATTACTCAAAAAAAAAAAAAAAAAAAAAAAAAAAAAAACACATTATGTAACATTAATTTTTTATTGTACATGTAAGTGACACCTAACATTTAAATAGTAAAGTCGAAATTATACACTGATTATTTTGAGTTAAGATTGATATACAAGTTGTTCTGATGAGTCCTCTGGGTTGGAGTTCTCTTATGGATATCAAACAGATCAATCAATGGACCTCTTTGGATTGGAGTCCTAGGAAGCTTTGAGCTAGTACTTTCCCTAATGAAATTCACAATTAACTTAAATTTCTGTGCAGACAGAGAAAGAAAATACTTGAATGCATATTATATTATTACAATATCCACAGCAAAGCATTCGGAAGACGAGCAAAGCACTCTGCTTGACTACTGAAACGATGACTATAAGTGTACATATAAACATAAATGAGATGCATTTCTTCAATTCTAGGGATTAATTAAACCTTGAATGGATCAAAACGTATAATAGGATAACAGACAAGAGGGACTGCCATAGCTCCTGAATACCCTGAGGTTAATTTGACATCAAACTTCTCTCCATCTTTCAATTTCCAATCAAAGCATTGAATCAGAGACGCAATTGTGGTATATGTGACTGTCAAAGCATGTGACTGTCCAATGCAAGCTCTTCTTCCACTACCAAATGGAAGGAAATGAAAACCCTGACCGTAAAAATCCATTTCTTGATGGTCAACCAAAAATCTCTCTGGTATGAATTTTTCGGGTTCTTTAAATATGTTAGGGTCCTGCATGATTGCATAAGCATTGATGAGGATCTTAGTACCTGCTTTTAAGTCATAACCGTTTAAATTTGTGTCTATGTTGCTTTCTCTTCGAAGTAATGGTCCTGCAGGATACTTTCTTAGGGTTTCCTTGACAATGGCTTGCAAGTAAGGAAGATTTGGAATATCTGATTCTTTTACTACCCTGTTAGATCCCACCTTTGAATGAATCTCTTCTCTTAGTTTCTTTAATATCTCAGGATTGTTGATCACCTCTGCAATTGCCCATTGTATACTTGCTGCAGTTGAATCCACTCCTGCCGTGAATATTTCCTACCAAGCAAGATCATAATTCAATAAACCTTTCATAATATTCATTTATTAAGTTATTTCGTACAGAATATTAGAAATACCGTACCCTAAGTAGCTAAACAAATATATAATGGTATAGCTCAAATCTCAATAAACATTTCAATAACGATAAAGAAACAGAGAGGGAGACAGAACAAGTAACCATCAAAGCAAAGAAATAAAGCAGTCCAAATCACATATGATAAAGAAAGCAACAATTATATCTTAATTAATTGTATATTCACCAAATAAATCGAGCTAACTAGATTAGGAAATAAAATGAATTTTGAGATTAAGGCTTAGAAAGAGCTATTTGAACGGACAGAAAAGGGGTACAAATGGAATAATTATATCTATCAAATACCAACCATGCATATATCCGAAGTAATTAATATAAGAAAAGAACTCACTAGGAAGAAGGTTTTGATCTGATTTCTGGTTATTCTGAGCTCGGCACTTGTATCTCTGTAGGTCCCCAACAATATATCAATCACATCTTTCTCTTCTTGTCCCGAATCATTCATCTGGTTATCTTCATATTCCTTGAACAGCCTCTCCAATAGTTGGTCGTATTCTAAAGTTACAGATATAAGCCTTTTACCATGTCCGGAGAGATCAAATTTCTTCAGAGGGCCAAACACTTGAGTGAAGCTTAGCTTCGCTGTAGATTCCATGATGGCCATAATTGATTTCCTTATCTCCATTGGCAAATTAGGATTTTCTGCACATCTTTTGCCCACTGCCATCTCACAAAGAACATTATTTGCCAAGTTTGACAACTCCATACCCAAATCACAAGGTTCTCCTTCTCCAGATCTTGCCACTAGTGATTTTAAGAGCTTTAGTGTCTCTTGCTCTCGAATATGGATGAATCGGTCAAGCTGTGGACCTGCAAATAGCTGTGTCTTGCATAGCTTCTTCATGAATTTCCAATACGGTCCATATTGAGAGTTAATGAAACTACACCCATCATACATGTTGAATTTTGACAAACCAAAACCAAGAATGTACTTGGAAGCAAAGTCAACATCATGGGTTTTCAAGATTTCTTTGGCTATGATTGGGTCAGATATGACAACTACAGGTTTTCCTCCCATGAATATCTGCATGATAGGACCATAACGGCTAGCTAAGTTCTGAAGGGATTTTGGTAAGCTAGAGCTTAGCAAGTGAAGGTGACCGATGATGGGCAGAGAAGGAGGACCTGGAAGCTGGTGACTCTTGGTGCGAGAGCTGGTAATTGCTCTAATCAAGGCTCGCACCAGAAAAGCAACAATAGTGATCCAAGCGATGAGAATACTACTAGTTGCCATGACAAGTAAGCTTTTGCTATGGCTAGCAAATGGTAAAGACTTTTCTTTCAATATATAATGTGTGTGCATGGAGAAATCAATAAAAATGTGTATATGTAGATTGATGTTAAAAAAATACATATATATATAAAAAGAATTGCATAATTTAACAATAGCATGATATATGCATACATATGAACAGTGACATGAAAGGAAATCATTTTATTCAACTGTAGTATCAAACCAACCATATGCAGACTAACAACACAAAACAAAAATAACGATAATAATTCGACAAAAAATTGTATGAAAGAAAATTTTTTAGTTGGGAAATTTGTGGAATTTTGAAAGAAATTTCTATCGTTTTCCACCTTCATTTTCCCCAATTATGTTAAGATGCTCAGACATGTCCATTAAAGGACCACATGACATATGCATGTCAATTACAGGACAAATTAGGCAATAAAAGTTCTTCGCTTAACTTCAACTCATTAAATTAATTATATATCTCGAACTGTTTTCAATTTCAGTTCTCCTTTTAAACATGAAATTTATTAATCAAGTTCAACTTTGATCACAAAGGTATACAGCTTGATTAATTCGAACATATGCTTCTTAGCAATTGAACAATCAATTTATTATCAACGTCAACACTCTGCAGAGTGCTGCAGATTTATTTAACATTGAAAAGCAAGTCTTGAACACATATGAACAGGAAAACTATAGCAAGAAAAGAAGCTTATAAATTAGAGTACGTCAAAGACATTATACGTGTTTTAGAGCAGGAAATGCTGGAGGAAATTCAGTTGAGCCGGCTTGCACTTGGGAGGAAAAATTCTTTTACCTTCTTATAAAACCAATCAAACAATGCACCTATAATCTCAATTCTAAAACGTTTGATAAGAATTCCCCCCAAGCCAGCCCTGATGTGCATTATTGATGCTTACCCGCTGGTCAGAACATCAATAACAGATACATATTTAAATAACTCAATTCTCTCAATACTGAAGCACCTAATTTTTTCTACAAGTTCTATCATCTCCTAAGGAGATGGAATATACATGGGCAGATTGAATGAGTCCACTTTCGATTTGCTCACCGATCCCTATGATGAATACAATTGATAATTATTTCATAATTCATAGGCAAGTTATGACTTGAAACTTGAAAGGTCATGAATTCAAATCATGGCATTCAAGTAAGGCAAGATCCATACAATAGAGAACCTCCCAAACCCTCATGAAGTGGGAAGTTTCAAACACTAAGATGCGCTATTTTACGATAAGATTATATTTGATACTCTATAATGAAGTATAACTTATGTTGTCAAATGCATTTTTAGCATAAACACGAGTTCTTAGACTAACCTATTTTGGATCCTAGAAGATTGAACATCACATTAAAAAATTCACAAGAACAAGAAATCCCAGCACGGATGCACCACAATCACTATAATCCCACCCACCACAAGTCTCCAGCATCCAAAAGTATCTTCATATCCTTTGCAAACTGGGTGGCATATCCTTTGCACACTTCATCCGGTGCATTAGTGTAGATAATTTTTGTGCCATTGTTCCAAGCAGGAGAGTGCCTATCTAGAATTTCTTCTGGCACCTGAGATAGCCAATATGATGCAGTACAAGTATGAATAAAATGCATAGAGGATCTGGGGAATAAAATGAAGAGAGATCTAAATAGAGTATTGAAATCATTCAAGACATGATCATTGAAGAATACATGAAATTCTGGACTTTGGAAGGAAGAGCTTGGGACTGACACTTATATTTCACTGCTTCAATAATATTTCTTACTCAAATAAAAGTATTTGGCCCAACTGAACAACCAAAATCCGCAATATTAAATAAGCTTGAAGAAGCAAAAAGGGGATCTTTTACGTTAAGATTACGAGCAATATGTCATCGATCAAACTTTTAGCATTATCAGTGGCTTTTCTCTGCAAATATAGATCAATTAGCTTATATGTACTAGAAAATGAGAAAAGAAATAAATTCTTTTAACATTTTGTCAAACAGTTAGTAGACACCTATATAAAAATACACATATAAATAAAATCAGTACCTGAAAAGAGAAGATTTTGGCATAGCTGTAGTCGCCATCTCCTCCATTTATTGGGTATGATTCCGCAATTGACATTGCGACTGTGCTTCCGCTCGTTTTCTCTGTATACATGTGATGCAATGATGAGGATTCAGATACCCAGCCTTTAGGCGATGGGTACTAGCCTTAGCAAGAACTGATTAGAGTTCGAGCCACTTGTCCCTATCATCGCCGGGGCTTGCTGGTCAATGGAGGCGGTGGCGGCAGGTACGTTTCGACGGACGGCACCTGGTGCTGTGAAGCCGGTGGAAACATGGATGAATTTAAGGAACCGAAAACGATGCATTGTCTGAAGCGTTTTACTGGAGGAGGATAATGAGCTCCAGTGTGGAAACAATATGGCTGAGAAGGATAAAAAGGAGAAGGCAGTGGAAATCAGCGAAGAAAGGAATGGAATTTGTGAAGGCGAGTGATGAGCTTTGGCAATAGAAATTGCGTCTCCTCCATATTCTCTTTTGGCAAATGTAATTTACTTGATAACTATACAAATCATATCATATAAACTCCAATTATGTTTCGTCATGTCCATCTTTTCAATGCAACTTTGATAATTTTCTAACTTCACCTGCAATTTCTTTACCTATCTTCCACACAAGAATGTCTAGTAAGGTCACCATCACTTTTTCCGATCAGCTGTGGACTCACATAAATTTATTTTTTATTCAAAATCGGTATCCTAAATTTGCCTTTCTATTCAATTACGCTCAAACTTGCAAATTAAGGAATCCATATCAAAAAGGTCAAATAACGGTGTAATTGCAACACGTTAACGTATTTTACACACACACACATATATATTTTTGTTAGAATAAAGAGAGCAGAGCTCTGAGATAACATGCACAATCTTGAAGTTGGCTTCTTTAACCAGCTCTTGAATCGCATAAGCTGATTTAGTCTACATCAGAGAGATTCATATACGTTTTAAAGCAAGAAATACATGATGAAATTCAGCTGAGCCAGCTTGTACTCTGCAAGAAAATTCTTGTGACTTCTTAAAAAACTGATCAAATAATTCATCTATGGTCTCATTTCCAAAATACTTCTTAAGCATTCCTGTCAAGCCAGCTCTGAGGTGCATTGCCCATGCTTGCATGCTAGTTCGAACATCGACTATATCATATACAGGTTTAAATAACTCAATTTTTTCAACACTGAAGCACTTGTTTCTTTCTACAACTTCTAGTATCTCCTCAGGATATGGAATATACATGGGCAGATTGAACGAGTCTAATTGCACTTCGCTCACTAATCTCTGTGCATGGTTTAAATAAAAATTAAATAACACAATTGATAATTAATTTTTAAGATTAAAGTTGTTCATGGGTGAGCTATAACTGATGTAATTAAATGCATTTTTTTTCTTATACTTACCTCTTTAGCCATGTCCACGAGGCTCGATTCCAAAAGATCGAACAATATATTACAAAATTCATAAGAATGAGAAATCCGATTACAGATGGATGACAGCTTGATCACTATAACTCCACCAACCGGGTGGCATATGGTTTGTATTCTTCATATGGAGCATTAGTATAGAAAATTCTGCCTTTGTTCCAAGCAGGAGAATTCCTATCTAGAATCTCTCCTGGCACCTGAGATATCCAGTGTAATGCACTGGAAGTATGAATAAAATGAAGAGAGGATCTGGGGAATAAACGAACATGAAATGAACCTGGCAGACCAGCAGCAAAATATCCCCTTTCTGGAGGGAGAGATTTAAACAGGGTATTGAAATCCTTAAAGACATGATCATTGAAGAACACTTGAAATTCAGGAATTTGGGAAGCAAGACCTTGAGATTGACAATTATATTTTACTGCTCCAATAATATTTTCTGCACAAATAAAGGTATTTGGCCCAACTAAACAACCCAAATCCGCAATATTAAATGAGCTTGAAGAACCAAAAAGGAGATCTTTTAGGTTAAAACTAGGAGCAATGGTCTCATCAATCAAACTTTTAGCATTATCAATGGCTTTCTCTGCAAAAACAGAGCAAATATGTTATAAATGCTAGAAAATGGGAAAAATATATTCTTTTAAGCATTTCCTCAAACTATGTACATTATAAAATCTATTTATATGTATACACAAACACAAAATTGATACCTGAAAAGAGGAATTTTTGAAGTAGCTGTTATCGTCGTCATCTCCTTTCATTGGATATGGTTCTGCCATTGACATTAAGGCTATGCTTTCACTTGTAGTCTCTGTTTAAGCTGTGTGTTATTCATAATACCTGTTCTACACCAGGATAATTTTTTAAATATATTTTGGCAGTGTTAGCTTTGTTTGTGTTCTGATCAAAATTTGGAGCCAAAAAAATATTACAGATAGGGGTTCAGATTAACAACTTCATCATCACTGACATCATGCATTCTCCACAAAATGTTGAATAATCTTAGCTAAATATATTTGTATCATCATATATATTTGATAAAAGAAAATTGTGGTACAAATAGATGATTATTGTTGATTTTCATTAAACAAAGATCACTATCACACTTACATCAAGACTCAATACAATATTGTAAATCAACTTATTTAATTCTGATAAATTTGGAATTATCACTTGCGTTTGAGAGCAAGAAACATTTGGGTTGGTTCTCTTGACTGCAAAACAGAGGAAAATTGTTTAACTTTCTTCGATAACCGAACAAATACTTCATCCATACATTCACTTCCAAACTGTTTGCTCAGCATTCCTTCCATGCCAGCTCTATAGTGCATTACCATAGACTGCTCATCCATTAAGGCTTTCTTAGCAGATCCTGGACTAAATTGCTCAATCCTCTCGATTTTGAAACACCCATTTCTTTCTACAAGTTCTGCCATTTCTTCAGGGGAAGCATAGTATATAGGCACATTGTATGAGTCCACCAGATCTTCCCTTATTATTCCCTGTTATCAAGAATTATGTATTAGACAATATTTTTTTGGCAGAAAAGAATTATAAATAGTATAATTTTCTTATACATGCCTCTTTTGCCATGTCAACCAGAACAGACTCCAAAAGCTCAAACATTAGATGACCAAGTGGAGGAGAATCACCAATGCGGACAGATAATATGACAAGGACCAGTAATCCTCCAGAAACAAGCTCTTTGGCTCTAGCATTCAAGAATATGGCCATGTCCTTCTCGAATTGTGCAGTGTAAGCGTTGTAAACTTCTTTTGGTGCACTTGAATAGAAAATCCTGCCTTTGTTCCAAGCAGCAGAGCTTTGATCTAATACATCTTTTGGCACCTCAGATAGCCAATGCACTGCATGCGAAGCATTTATGAAATGAAGAGAAGAATTAGGGAATAATTGGTTATAAAAAGAACCAGGCACGCCAGCAGCGAAGTATTGTCGTTTTGGTGGGAGAGTTCTAAACAGAGTGTTGAAATCATTCAATTCTTGGTCGTTAAATAATACTTGAAATTGGGGAATTTCAGAATTGGAACCAAACTGGGTTTGGTATTTGGTTGTTACTGCTTCAATTACATTCTGCATCGACATAAAAGTATTTGGTCCAACTGAACAACCCAAATCTGCTATGTTGAATGAACATGTAGAAGTTGAAAGCAGTTCTTTCAGATCAAGCTTATGAGCAATTTCCTCACTAATCATTTCCTTTGCACCAGTAATGGATTCTTTCTGTCACACAGACAAAACATTAGTACTAAAAATTATAAACCTGGCAAAACGAAATTATTATCAAACATCAATATCAATTGGCCATGAAACTTTACCTGAAATGAGGAGTGTTTGGAGTAGCTAAACTCGCCATCTCCACCATTCATTACATGTGATTTCACCACTGTGGTTGCCATTGCTAATAGGGTTTTTTTTCTTTTTGGGTGAAGATAAGAATATGAGTATTGTTGAGGTCAAAGGTGGAGAAAACCATCGGCTGTCCTCTCTATTTATACAAATGTCTGTTCTGGTCGAACACCCATCGAATGGGACTACTTTTTCAAAGTCAGAAACAATTATTGCGGTCTCCAGACGATAACGTAATTAATATTTTTTTGTTTGTTCAATTTTGTGCACTTGTATAGTTAATGTAGAAATCAGGAGCACCTGTTCAGTTCTCAACAATTCTGGTGGGCGATGGCGAAGACTATAAGATAGTCGTTTTATGTGTTGACGCAAAAGCCATCTCCTATCCAATTATGTCACTTCTTTTTTCTTTTCAATTTTAAAAAATAATTAATTTAATTAACTTTAAATGAAAAGGTTTTTTTAAAAGAAAATATTACAACTAGCTAACGTTATTATAATCGTGACTTTAAAATAATTTTTTTACTTATTGATACATATTTTAATTCGATCTAATCTAAATTACAGAATAAAATTCGATCCACTTATAAATGGAATAAATACATTTTTTTTCTTTTTTTAATATAAAAAATGGATTCTTTTTAATGATTTTAGGTATATTAACTTGATATGACTCGCCCCGCAAATTGATCCAATCTAAAACTAAAGGATCTCCAGTCTTCTTAGCTTTAGGTGAGACAGGGAACTAAAGTGTGAATCTACCCAGGAAAAAAAAAAAAAAAAAAAAAAAATTGAATCTTATATATATTCCATCAATATTTATTAATTGCAATCTTATAAAACACTATCCTGCATTCAAAATTTCCAAGATCGACAGTTAAGTGGAGAATTGTCAACGATGCCTCCTCCATAATTGAGTTAATAATTTAGTTTTGGCTATTTCAAAAATTTTTTTTATGAGATAATACATATCTGTGTACAAAAGTAGCTGCAATTAAGCAGATTTAAGAATTACAAATTCTTCAGATTATATCATCATAAATTACATTATAAATAAATTCATTTTAAATAAAAAATACTTTATAGTAGCAAATTTTTTTAAAAATATAAATTTGAACTCAAAATCTCTTCCCATCATTTAACGACGATCGCCAGAATTACACCTAGATAATTATTCTTCCTATTATTTTACTCTATTGCATCGGTTGCATCATAATTCATCAGCTATAGCATCATAAACAAATATAAATTTTAGCCTTATGTCCTTGATATTAATTCCAGTAAATTATTTTATTTTGTTATATGTTCTTAAACTATATTTGTTATCTCTTTCAAAAAAAAAAAAAAACTATATTTGTTATCCTGATCGGTTGGTTTGGACAATCACATCTTTATTATTTTTATCCACAACAAATGAATTTAAAATATTTTTCATAAATCTGTATTTAATTATTATTTTAGACTTTTTTTAGAATAAACTATAACTAAATTTATAAAATTATATTTAAAAGTCATATATTTAGTTTAATGTGATATTTATATTAAAAATAAATTTTCATAATATCCACAAAAAATAATTAAATATAAAGTCATCGGTCAATTTAAGTGGATTAACTTTTGACTTATTAATTACTACTAGTATTGGAGGGGGAGTTCTAAAAGAGAGTTGCAATCATCCAATTCTTGGTGGTTAAGGAATAGGTTTTAAATCATTCAACTCAATAGGTTTATATACTAGTTCAATTATCTCTTTTATATATACATAAACTCAAAAAATTTAAACTTTATGAATTTTTTTATTTTGAAAAAAAAAACTAAATGAATTGAACTAGTACAATAAATGGATAATTATTTAAATAATTTTAACTAAATTACTAGAAAATCTCATAAATAAAAAGCTTTAAATCTGAAACTAAAATTTTTCTTTATCTTTAAAAATATAGAAAATAAGTAAAGTAAGCCATCCTTCTGTTGTAGCAAATTGACAACTTTAATTAATGAAATTATTGAAAGGAGGTCATTGCAAATGGATGGGTCCTTTTACCTTTTTTTTTTCCCTTTTTTGCCGGTCATTTGACGAGACTTTATTCTAACTTATAATCTATGCAATTATGTTACTTTTGTAATTTAAAAATAATTAGTTTAATTAGTAAAAATGAGAGTTTTTATTAATTTATATTTTATTTTATTAAAAATAGTTAATGAATAGTATTTATAAATAGCATATAATATAAAAATGCATTTACAAATTTTTAAAAATAAAAGCATCTCAATGGAACTTCCAAATTAAGTTTAACGCCTCGTTAATTTAGAAACAGAGATTTGAGCCTTCTTTAACTATTAAAATTAAAGAAAACACAAAATTATTACAGGAAAAGACATTTTTCCATTTCTTGACGTCCATTTCTTGACGTCCATTTCTTGACGTCATCAAGTGGTACAAATATGACTTTGAATATATTTTATATATATATATATATTGCAATTTAAAGTATGATCATTTACGTCGAAGCACGTAGTGAGATTGAATTTTGTCCTTGTATGCTTTTTCCATCTTGTGGAAAACCTCAGGAAGTTTTACCAGCAATTGACTGAACATTTCATTGACAATGTCAATTGAAAAATGTTCGAGGAACATTCCTTCCATTGCAGCCCTAATGTGCTTCACATATTCCACCATGTCAACGTGCATTCCTTCTGTTAGCCACGGTGCCGGATTTGTTAATCCCATTTCTTCAATCTTGAAATTTCCATTCTTTTTCACCGCCCCAACGAACTCTCCTGGAGGGGCTGCATATATTGGCAAGTTGAAGGCATCTACTTGTTCTTCACTTATTAATCCCTGCAACAAAATTAATTACCAATTACACGATTGTGACTTATTATATTGTAAAGTAGCATTCACTACAAAAAAAACGCCATTTTGCGACCGACAAATCGGTCGCAAAATGGCAAAAATCGGTCGCTAATTTACTGTAGCGACCGTCGCAAAAACAACGTTTGCGACCGCATCTGCGTCGTCGCAAATAGAGACCAATAAAATCGGCGCCAAACGTGAATAAGCAAGCGAGTCGCAATTTGGTCCGCGTTATTAATTGGAAATCAGTCGCATTAATTTAGTCGCAGAAAGTCCGTCGAATGTTATAAACGTCGCCCAAATGAAAATCAAATGTTTACTTGACGGTACAAAAATCGGTCGCAAAAAATGAAAAAAAAAAAAAAATAATATTTTGTTTTAAACCAAATTTTTCTCACCTGTGAAAATACCTAAACTGCATATATCACACACGCAATCAGAAACCAGGTGGTATAAAAAATGTAATTTTATTTGTTCTAAACAAATAAAATATGATAATACAAAATGAAAAACTAAAAAGGCCAAAATCAAATCGTTATTATGTGCTGCTCATCTGCAGGATCAATTGCGATCGCCAGGAGGTATGTACTCTGATTGTGAGTAGCGCCAGGAGGTGATCCAAGATGTCCTGCTAGCACGTGATAGGATAGTCCGTAAATGGGCCTCGTCCCATTATGAAATGTTTCTTCAAAAAATAATGAAATATAGCGGTTTAACATTGTTCGATTGTATCTTGAATTGTAACATATTTTATGATTGCATAACTAAACCAAAGCGTAACCTGGAACTCCTCCCAATAAAGTCCTCTCTCTCTCTTTGTCTGGCATTCATGGTATCCTTCTTTATTCAGCTGATAGCTGATTATCTTCAAAAATTCCTCGCTGCTCTACAAGATATAATATATGTCTAAAAAACAAACAATCAATAACAGAGTAAAAATATAATACACGAAAAGACATCACAGTTATGAATTAAGTAAACAAAAATATATTATACAAAAATGCCTGCCCAGAAAAAATTCTGAATAAGTACTTATGTCCCGCTTTACAAATCTGAGTTCGATACGTGTTATCTGATTGAACTGCAAAAGAATATACAATATTATAAATTTCTAAAATAATTTAATTATATAATAAAATACCAGTTAGACATTATGATTACCTTGCACAGTTAAGTGACTGCGCACTGTTGGAGTCTGTACCTGGTCCAGAAAGGGAGTAGAAGAGGAAGCAGCAGGCAAGGGAATGGAGAGGGAGAGGAAGGAGCAGGCAGCTGAGCCTCAGTACGGACGTTCTGCACAGAGGATGAAGCCCCAGACCGTACCTGAAGAAGAGTATTGCTCTATGACGCTGAGCAGAGGCATGAAGCCCAAGACTACCTGAAGAGATTGATGGTGGCAGTACTGGTCGCTGGCACTATGACGTAGCCCCAGACTACCCATACGAAGACGAGGATCGGACCTCCTCGTAACCACGCACTCTTCCAGGCCACGACCCCCCACGCAACCTACTACCAGTACGTCAGAACTCAAACCTCTGCCTTACGCCAATCTGTACTCAAGATTATCAGACCTATATAAAATGAATTTATACAATTATATAATTGTAGAACATTGGAAATACATTAAAACAAAGTGATACCATTAAAATTCTTCATTAATAATTTAATTACATATCATTATCAATTTGTAACAGTAAAATTGCCTCTAAGTTTTATTTCTTCAATTTCATTCTGCTTCCTCCTCCTCTTCATCACTTCCTCTTCTTCATATTCGTTAAAATTTTCAGATGATTGGCCGAGACCCACTGGCAACTCGCGCTTCACGGCATGATTATCCATTCTTATAATTTTCCAACGAAACCCATTTTGCACAAATTGAAGTTCATCTTACAATGTCTAAGAAGGTCCGATTTCACACTCTTATGATACATGAACACCTCAACCTTATTTACCCCAATCTTAAAAACTGGATTAACGACTGCAATACTGATAAACGCCTCCAATCCGTTCAGCAACTCTTGTCTTAATATTTTCCCATTTACCTCGAACTCAGTACATCCAATCCATTATTTTCGCATTTCTTTTACCCAATTAACAAATGTGTTTATCAAGGTAAATTTTATGTATATTGCATTAGTCCTGAATCTAGCCTTAAAAACATCTACTACATGTAAATGTTCCAATTTACATATAACTAACTAAGGTTTAATTTCTATAATAAGGACTAATATAAATTTAAAAACTAGTTCATTTATTCATACAAAGTTATATGCCACGGGCATAAGAGTCTCGCGCAGCACGTGCGCCCGCGGCGCCCCGGAGCCCTCTCCGCTTGGCTCCCAGCAAGCCTTCGGCCATAACCGACCGAACTGTTTCCCCTGCCATGCTCATCAGGAGAGCCCCAGCTTCAACCAGTTGTGGCCGAGAAGCCACACTAACCCCGCTATGCAACTTGCATGGTAATGTCCACTGGCAGACGCCCTAACCGCTTAACCGCCCCTACCCACACGGTAGAAACGCATGCTTTTTACGATCTTCATGTTGCCTCACACGGTTACGGAATTGCTCCTAACATCCTCCACTCAAAACAGCCCGTTCCTCTTTGCCAGAGAGCGACTCGCCCTGGACCGTCCTTCTTTTACGCCCCCTTCGAGCCCACCTTGCTCAGCTTTATTACCATGCCGGCCCCCGAAAACAACTGCTCTAAAATACCTCCTCGTCCTGAGGTCTGCGCCATTCTTTGGACCACCGATAGAGTCGGATGCCTACCCCGCATTTGATTTCTAGCATCGCCCGAGATGTCTGCCTAGACTCCCATTGCTTCGACATCACTGAGCTGTGGTGCCTAGACTCCGCCATGCTTCGACACCGAGGAACATATCACAGCGACTTTTGCGCTGCCATGGAGTTGTGCACATCAGTGAACTGCTGGCATTATGTTTAAAGCAAGTCTCTCTGATAACCACTCTATCACGTGCATTAGAGTTACTCGCGCCAGCACTGCCCCGTTGCGGCGCCCCGGAGGCCTCCCCGACTCTCCGAGGCAAGCCTCGCCATACCGTACCGAACTGGTTTCGCCCTGCCATGGGCTCATCAGGAGAGCGGCCCAGCTCTCAACCAGTTGTGCCCGAGCAGCACACTACCCCGCCTGATGCAGACTTTGCATAGGGTAATGGTGCCACTGGGGCAGAACGCCCTAATTCGCTAAGCCGCCCCTACCCACACAGGTAGAAACGCAGCTTGGTACGCATCTTCGATGTTGGCCTCACACGGTTACGGAATTTGTCCGTAACATATATACCTACTATAATAAAGGTAAGTGTACTATTCTACATATTAAATTTATTGAAAAAAATTCGGCAGCATTTCGGCACAATACAATCAAATCTCAAATACAAAGACACTTCAATAAACACTTCTATAACATATCAACATTCTCAAATATGCCACTCATAGGCCTCCATCCAAAACTCAACCTCATTCAAAAAAATATTTAAGATAATAACACAATAAATATCTATAATAAAGAAAAAATATTATTTGGTTTGGATTAAATTAAACGTATCAAACCTAACCTATATTCACCAAGAATAACCCACATCTTATAGACTTAGGTATGACAAGAAAAATGTATACCATAGTATGAATTAGTTATAGCTTAAATGCCGGAATTCGTCATCGAAACAATGAAATAGAAATTTACTTAAAATAATAAGTATCTTTTACTATCATGAGAAAAAAATTCAAATGTTATTATTGGTTTATACTTTTAGTTGTTAATTACAATGGGAAAACGCTGAATTAATGGCATAGACCAAATCATAACATAAAGTGGTGACAAAAGAACCAAGTGTTGGATAACAATATGTATATTTCAATTGGGGCTTCCATTTCTAAAAGTGCAGAATTTTATCATCAAACTTTGTCATTGTGGCTTTTAAATATATTGGAATCCTTTTTTAAAAATAAAAGAAAGGGTACAGAAGCTCTGAAATGGTTGGTGACACAACATATCTATTATATATACTATAAAAAAGACTTTGGAATTGCATATTTGTTATAATAATTAACTATTCAGTTGACATCTGATGCCATTTTTTTTCCCCTTCTATTCTTCTTATTCATCATTGTATAAGGAGAATTCTGTTGTGCATAAACTATTATATATATATAATTATATCCTCAAAATGTGATGGTGGCAGTACTGGTCGCTGAGCAGATGACGAAGCCCCAGACGTACCTGACGAAGGACGAGGGATCGACCCTCCTCGTCCACGGGCAGAGGAAAATGTGGTGGCTTTGCGATAATAAACTAAATAAAATATTGGTGGTGGTGGTAGTTATAAACTTGTAAACACGTTTTTCCCTTATTTATTTATTGTATGGAGGTTGATTCGGAACTGATCAGGGAAGAAAAATCAGAAAACAAGTTGATGAATTTTTGGATTAATCTGGCTGCCTGCTTATAATTTAGGACCTTCAAAAATAGCAAATAAGTCAAGTTACAACTAAAATTTGAAAATCAAGAAATTTCCCATACAAATCCTATCTAAATTTTCCTTCTTCTCAATATCACATAATTGTTTATGTTTTAAGCTTCCAAAACTGATCACATCTGATAATTGAGGAACCTGATAAAATAATTATTCATAATTGGATTTAACATGAATTAACTCATTACATTTCCACTAATTAATTATCAATATTAAGATAGGCTGAACATTCATACAGAAAAGATATTCATGCATCAGAAAATAATTGCACCTGAACCTAAATTAATTTGCAAATTCATTTGAATGGAGCATTAAAAAATTAATCCAAATTCCTAATTACTATACTAAAAGTCTGACATTTTTTGCTAGAATATAAAAATAGTATTTATACAGTTAGTTTCTTCTTCCTAATTAATTATTAACTCATTTAATTAATTTGAATTAATATAATCTAATTTGAAAAAAAAAAAAAAAAACAATAACACAATAAATAATACAAAAAATCATATACAAAAAAAACAAAAAAAACCTAAAACTAGTATAAAACTTATATTTAATAATTAATAACAAAACTACTAACAACAACATAACAATATTATAATAATAACAAATAATAAATAATTGAAAAATACACAAATAAATCGCCAATAAAAAAAAAAAAAAAAAAAAAAAAATTTCGAAAAAAATAAAATGCAAACCGCCTTACCTCAAATGTGTCCAGACGATGGCGACGCTAGAGAGTGACCGGAGCGTCGGTCCGGGCTCACAGGCTGAGTTCTCAGGAGGGCCTGCGGTGCACCGGCTCCGGACGGAGGAGAGCGAGAGAGAAAGAGAGAAAAGAAGAAAAAGAAAGAAGAGGCGCTTAAGCCCTTAAATTTCGACCGACATAATCGCTTCGCAAACGGTACTATAAATCGGTCGCAATTTTTAATTTCCGACGTCGTTTTACTCCGGAGCATTTTGCGACCGAATTGCGACTGAAATAGTCGGTCGCGAACAGTCCGTCGCATTTTATCTCATCGGCTTCCCAGAATTTATCATTTCTACCCGCATTTTTCACAAACACAGTTATCGCAAATTCGGCCCAAATCGGGTCCCCAAGCTCAGCAAAGTCGTAGAATTCGTCGCTAAATTTTGCGACTGATTGGCAAACAGTCGCAAATCGGTCGCAATATTGCGACCGATTTTGGTCGGTCGCAAAAAGCGGTCGCAATTTGGCGTTTTTTTTGTAGTGATTAACCAAAGAATTATGAGTTCAAGTTACCCTTTTCGCCATATCGAGGAGGACGGATGAGAAACAATTGTACAAAATGCCATTTGCAAGCTCAGAATAAGGCATTCCATCAGGAATACTTGGCATGACAACGATAAGCAATCCGCCAGGCACAATCTCTTTAGCCCTAGCATTCAAGAAGTCATTAAAATCTTTAGCCCATTGTCTTGCATATACTTTGAGTACTTCGTCAGGAGCATTTGCGTAGTGAATTTTCCCTTTGCTCCAAGCTGGAGAGTTGTTATCTTCCAATTCCTCTGGCAAATTAGAAAGCCAGTGGAGTGCATAATTACATTGCACAACGTGGAGGTAATTGCTAGGGAAAATTCTTCCATGAAAAGAACCAGGCACACCACCTGCATAGTATTCTTTCTGTACTGGAAGAGAAGTGAAAAGGGTATTGAAGTCATTTGAAGGTTGATCATTGAAGTATACTTGGAATTCAGGCATGGAAGAAAAATCAGGACATTGGCACTTGTTTTTAATTGTATCTATTAAAGATTGCAAAGAGGTAAATGTATTTGGACCAACCGCACATCCTAAATCTGCTAGACGAATTGTATTATTTGAAGTAGATAAGAGGAATTTTACATCTAGTTTCTTGGTGATTGCTTCTTCTACTGCATCTTTCGCAACATTTGCAGCTAGTTTCTGCCAGTGAATCAAAATTTTCTAGTTATTTAGTAATAAAAGCAATTAAGAAATAATGTTATAAATAAGACATATAGAAAAACCTGATAGATGGAGTGTTTGAAATAGCTGGTGGTACTTTCTACGTCGTTTTTAACGACTGGTTCTTTCGCCAATGCTGCCATGTCGATCTGGGTATAAGGTGGGGAGCTTTTCTCAATATCATTGTACTATAATGTGCCTACTTATGCTTTCGATTGAACTCATCCTTCCTGGACAGGTATAATTTTTGTCTTGTTTGGATTTGAATATGTTAATGATGTTTAATGATGTTTTTCTTATTATGATATTGATTGAAAATGATATTTGTATTTACTACCTAGTAATTATATTGCCAAATTCACGTAATCATTAACATTATTGTTGTTATGATTAGCGTTATTATAATTAATTAGCAAACAATTATTGATCGTCATTATCAAATTTAAGGACCACAGTATTTAATTTATTTGGAAGAAAATAAAATAAAATAAGATTATATTATATTTCATTAATTTTTAGTATATGAAATTCATATTTTGGCTAGTGTACAAATGTTGTTTCTTTATTAATAAAGTTGATATTCATATTGAAATGGTTATTTTGCTTTTGTCTCCAAATGGCTTAAAAAAAAAAAAAAAAAAATACTCTAATGAGGAAGATGGACTTATAGTTATAGATGGTCAGCTGAGATTGGGTTTTGTTATGGGCTCAACAAACTGAGTTCATAAGATAAGCCCAACCCAGCAGAGAAATGTAACAACAAAAAGAGAACAAGGCTATATTATTATGATAAAAAATAATATTCACTCCGATCCATTTGTTTGTATAGTTCGACAAAACACGCATATTAAGAATTGAGTCAATAAAAAATATTTTACTCCTTTTTTACTCTTAACTCATTAAAATATCAACAAAAGTTTTTCATTTAATGAATAATCATAAAGATTATTATAAGAAAAATAATTATTTACATATCTAAATTTAGAAACCTTTCAAACATTTTGAGACATTCAAAAATGAATAACAAACAAACAAAATAAGACAGAAGGAGTACTTAAGATTATATATCACATTATAATAAAAAATAAACTACAAAACATTTTTTGTATATTATATTATTTTTTTCAATTCAATAAAAAAAATAGCCAAATTGTCCATTATCATTATGGGTTAATTAGTTCCAATTATTAGAGTTTACATATTAACAGCAATTCTATAACTAATTTTAGCACAATTGCAACAAATTTAATTATAATATAATGCACTAATTTAACATTTGATCGCCACACTACTAAATAGGATAGCTTCCAGGCTGTGCGACAAAGGAGGTAATGCTAATGCATGTGCATGTGCAGCATAATACGAGTATAGTACAATTAGACTCCTTGATTCCAACCAATTAGATTGATTATGATTATATTATATGCACAATAGAGAATCATTTGCCTTAAAAATTCTCTACAGTGTGGCATTTAAGGTTTCTATAATTAAGTTAGTTAGTAGGTAGGATGGTCCTCACTATTGACTCTAGACCTACCACCCATATAGAAGCAAGAAAATTACAATTTTTTTTTTTTTTTTACCCTTAAAAAAAATAACTTGAAGGACTATGTTCTTCATCTCTGTATAAGATTCAATTTAGTCCCACCCTAACCCTATGGTAAGCGTAGTCCCACACCTAGTCTACATATAGGCACCCTCTCCCCATTTCCAATTCAATTGAAGTGTGTGTATTCTACTGTTTTGCATGTGCTTCAATGTGTAGAGTATCACAAAATAAAATTACGGTAAAAAATTATTTTTATTTAAAAAAAAAAAATTGTTTACTTATTGCATTATGTAACTGTTGCTATAACTTAGCTGTCTACTTAAATTTAAAAATTTTGATTGAAATTGTTTTCAATAACAGTTGTCTTCATCAAGTTGGTATATAATATAAAAATCTTATGATTATATATAGGGAGAGATAGTTATGAATCTCGAATGAGATAATCTCATTTTCAAATAGAGTAAGATACTTATGGATAATTAATTAAACAGAAACATTACTACATATTGACTTCATATATTTATAAATAAAAAAATATTATTCTTTAAGTACTTCATAATGATGTTAAATCCAAATTGAACAAAAAAAAATTACATTTCAGCCCCGTGTGTTTTTGAAAAATAATTTGGTTGAAAAATTTTTCCTTATTTTTTGATTTTTGGATGTTTAAGAAAATCAGTCAATATAGAAAATATTTTCTTAGTCAAATGGAAACTAAATTACTTTTTAAAAAAAATTTCCATTATCACACAAAGAAAATATTTTTCAAACATTGACAAATTTATTATACCTTTATAAATATATATTTTTTAATGTACTAATCACTAATAGCTACTAATATTAATAATTACCTACGACTATTACAATATAATTTTTATACACTTCTTTTTCATATTTAATAATAAAATTTTAAAGTAAGAAATTGATAAAATTATAAATATTTTGTGGTCTTGCAAATTAAAAATTTTAATATTTTTTAACTAATTTTCTATATTGCAATCAAAAAATAAAAATAATATTTTTCATTAAACAACTGAACTGATTCCGCTATTTAAGTTCATTAAACATGAAATTAATAAATACTATTAATCAAGTTGATATTAAGTATTAGAATTTGATCACGTTGAGTTTGAGTTGAGAAAATCAAATTTGATGAATTTAATTAAACCCTAGATCCAATCCAATGAGACTAACTCAATGAACCAAAATGAATGCTATAATCTCATCTCTTGTATAGCAGAGAAAATAAAAATCAATTGTCTAGCAAATTCGGATATAAAAATCACAACTCCTTATTGCTGAAATGTTTCATTTGAGCATTACACATTAATTAATAATTAATTAATATACATATAGATACGATCTCTTCCATAATTATTACTGCATAAATATGGATCTCATCACATGCAAACTTAGCCTCTCCAGGGCTAATTAAATTATCTTAATTAAGATTAACTAATTTTTGGGTGATTGGGTTGTTTTAATACTCAAACTTGGCCTCAATTTGGCTCATAATGAACGTATTTAGGGTAAATCCAAACTGGAAAACTTCCTAATAGAGGTACGTAATCACATGATAATATATATTATTGAACTTTGCTCTCTGCATGCATGTGCTTTAACGTGAAAGGAATAATAAATATTTGAAATTTCTTATCTCAACTGGTTGTTTTAAAAAAAAATTATTTGTTATTGACCATCTCTACAAAATATATGTCGCAAATCACAATAAAATAATTAAGCAACTTTTTTTTATGACTGACGATGAGTCGTTTACTTCCAACATTCTTTAATTGTTAATTGGTGCATTAAGATTGCATTAATTACTGCATGATCAAATTGTATTATTTGCGAGAAATCGTCACAGCTTACGTATATTTATTAATAATAATACTTGCACCGAAAATATATTTATATATATGTATTAATTTTCATGAATGTCAAAGACGATTACAAGTATTTAGTGTTCTGGATCAAATGTATTGTGGAAATTACAAATTTACAATAATTTATAGTTGGACTTTTTTTTTTATTTAGTTCTTCCTGACTCTAGTTCACGGGACTTTGACTTTGCTACAAATTGAGCATATGCAATTAAAATAACATCAATTAATTTCAAGAAATTACTTCTCCAACAATTAGTTTTACTCTTGACCTTAATTCGGTTCTTGAAGCCAACGAACTTAAAATAACAGTTTTTTAAGGGAATACATACAGTACTAACAATACAAGAAATGCATATTATTATATATTCTAGAACAAGTGAAATTAAATTCACTTGCGTTGTAACACATAGTGAGATTGAATTTTGTCCTTGTATGCTGTTTCCATCTGTTCAAAAACCTCAGGGAGTTTAACGGTTAACTGCTGGAATATTTCATTGACAATTTCTGTTGGAAACTGTTTAATGAACATTCCTTCCCATGCTGCCCTTATGTGCCTTAAGAATTCTATCATGTCAACATGAACTCCATCTGTTAGCCATGGCGCTGGATTTGCTAGTCCCATTTCTTCAATCTTGAAACTTCCATTCTTTTCCACTGCAGCAGCAAACTCTCCAGGAGGAGCTGCATATATTGGCATGTTGAATTCATCAACTTCTTCTTCCTCTATTACTCCCTGCATTTACATATATATTTTTTTATTTATAACTTTCATAGGAAAACGATAACTAAAATATTGACATACCCTTCTAGCCATGTCAACGAGGATGGATTCTAAACAATTGAACAATATCCCATTAGCTAGCTGAGAGTAAGGCATTCCGTCAGGAATACTTGGCATGACGACGATAAGCAATCCGCCAGGCACAATCTCTTTAGCCCTAGCATTCAAGAAGTCATTAAAATCTTCAGCCCATTGTCTTGCATATGCTTTAAGCACTTCACCATTTGTGGCATTTGCATAATGAATCCTCCCTTTATTCCAAGCAGTAGAGTTTTTGTCTTCTAGCTCTTCTGGCACTTTAGATAGCCAATACACTGCATAATGGGATTGCACGACATGGAGAGAAGATTCAGCGAATAATCGGTGGTAAAAAGAACCGGGCACGCCGGCGGCAAAATATTCCCGGTCCGGCGGGAGAGAAGTGAAAAGAGTATTGAAATCGTTTGAGGTTTTGTCATTAAAGAAAACTTGAAATTCAGGCATTGTTGTCCAATTAGGGTTTTGAGATTGGTACTTATTTTTAATAACGTCTATAATATTTTGCATAGAAGTAAATGTATTTGGACCAACTGCACATCCCAAATCTGCAAGAGCAATGGTATTTGATGTAGTTAACAAGGACTTCACGTCTAGCTTGTTGAAAATTGCATCATCTATTATGTCCTTTACCGCATTCGTAGCCAATCTCTGCCAACGAGACAAAAAAAAATGTTATTATTAATTTAACAAAAATAAATAAATTTATTTTAATAAATAGTAATATATATATTATCATGATAGAGAAGAAGAATCAATTCCTCCAATTATATATATATTAGCACTTAATTAGCATAGCATAAATTCCATGTGGGCATTCACCTATTCCTGCTTCAAGCTTTTGATTAATTTTGGGAAATGAAATGAAAAGTTATTGCCTTTTGTTTTGCATCAGGTTCCTTTTCTTGGGGCTTCACTCAATGTGTTAATTAATTATTTTAAACTATAAATTTTGAATCTAAACTACTTGCATTTTTTTATACTCTTTTTTACCAAAATAATAATAATAATAATAATAATAATAAAAGAGAGCGGGAGAAATAGCTATAACAACAATAAAAAATTACATATAGGCAATTAATTAAGCTTAATTATTCCCAAAACCTTCTAGAAATTTCTTGATGTAATTTTCTTGCATCAAGAAATTTCTTTTAAGTAAGTGCCTGTTCAAATAATAACTAACATCCATATGTAATTACAGAAATTTCAGTTGCATAATGTGAACCTGATAAACGGAGTTCTTGAAGTAGCTGTTGTTGCCTAATCCACCTTTAACCCTGATGGAACCATCAGCATCGTTGTTGAAGACTGTTTCTTTCACCAATGCAGCCATCTCTGAGTCTAAGCGTTTTGTTTCTTTATATTTTTTTCCTTTCGATATCTCTACATATATAGAGAGAGAGCTCGATGAGGAGAACGAATATACATCAACGGGTACCATAATTGAAACTTGGCCTATGTTTAAATTATTATTTGTTTAAATCATAGGTCCAAGTGAAAAGAAAGGGACGTGTGTGTGATATATTGTTTGGAAAAAATAAAATTTAACTAATAGGTAAGTGTAGGGTTATATATATATATATGTAGCTAGATTGTTGGATGTTACTTTTTAGGTAAGTATAGGATTCACATTTTTATGATCATGCGTCTGTGACCAATAGCCAATTAGCTTTGGTTCAACCACTTCAATGGTTTGAATCATATTCAAATCTTCCAAGATTGTTAATATTTTTTATCAGTAAAAAAATATTTATTTTATTAATTTTCAGAAAAAAAAAACTTAACATATTTCAGCAACTAAAACCTAAGTCAGAAGATTTCCCCGATACACATTTTAACTAATAGGATAAATTTAAGTGACGAAAATGGTTTTTCAGTAAAAAACAAGAATCCTAAAATAGGATAAAAATTAACGGTTAGGCGGGCAGATTAATCAGCCTTCTAAATTAGGGAAAATGGATAAAAAAATATCAAATCCTTTTATTTATTTAAATTTGATTATGTATGTATTGATAGTTAAATACGTAATTATATACGTAACTTTTGAAGTTACGTGTCAGAAAGCAGGAAAAAAGTGTCAGTATTGTGGCAAACCTGAGAGGGAATTGTGCAATAACTCTCAATAATTGATTATTCATTGATGTGTACATACATAGTTTATTAAAGAAAAATCACACTATCATATGTATTTAAGAAGAGAATATGAAGGTAGAAAATCAAACAATAATTAGTAATTTTAAAATAATTTAATTAACATGGGACCTTACACAATTTATTTTATAAAATATAAAACTGACAAAAACATTAAAAAAATTTTATAATATAAATTGTTCATAACATTAAATTCGGTTTTCGTATTTCCTTTTTAACTTAGTATTAATGTGCAAGAAAATTAGCTGGTTAAATAAAGATTGTGAAACAGATTCATTTGTCGTTTGTATGTATCTTTTATGTAATGTATGAAAAATTAATTATGTAATGAATTTTTTTTTCCAAGTTGTAGTATTATTTCATTGTGATTTTTTATTATTATAAAAATTAATTAAATAAAAAATATATATATTCATAAGGATCCTCTTCTCTTGTTAAATGATGACAAATTTTCTATACGTAAGATGATTTTGATGCAGTCCATAAATAATACGTAGCTAGAAAATAATTTCGAAGAACATTCATATATCAGAAAAGGAGTGAGCTATAAATTTCAAAAGTGTCAACATTTTCATTTTCCAACTAATAAAATTCAGAAGAACACACTAAATTCTTGTACTATGTATTGGTTTATTCTTATGAACATGTACTCTATATAATTAAGGACCACAGTCTTGATTGGAAAAGACAATCCTACTTTAGCTAATTAATTAGCCAATTAATTAAATTAACATCATTATCAAACACATTAATTATTAATTATATAGTTTTTTCAATGGTATTATTTTTAATTTCTAAACACGACTCTTGTTATTCGTATGAGCTCTAAAACAAATATTAATTTCAATGTCAAGGACCACACTATTGAATAGTAAAAATAAATATTAATTTCAACGTCAAGGACCACACGCTACATGTTAATTATAGATTGAAAGACCAAATTTTTTTTTTTAATTAATTAGAATTATATAAATGATATCCAAAAGAAAGTTCGGTCATCAGATTCAGATAGATAGTTAATTAGATATTAAGCATATGTATATATATACAGGATAGAACAAAATTAGTATATTTGCAAGTTGCATTTATCAAAGATGGGCGTGATTAACGTTGAAATGGTAGCTTCCTTGTTATAAGATTTTATATTTTATTTGCTTTGTCATCACATGGCCATTGGGCATTGTACATATATATATAATAAAGGGACCACCAGGTGTAGCTAACAAAAATGTAAATATATATGTGAAATTAAAATAAATAGAAAAATATTTAAATTTATATCACTACAAAAAAAACTTCAAATTGCGACCGATTTTTGCGACCGACAAAAGTCGGTCGCAATATGGATACCAATTTGCGACTGATTGGTAAAATTTTTGCGACCAGGACAAAAGTCGGTCGCAATATGGATACCAAATTTGCGACTGATTGGTAAAGCAGTCGCAGATTTTAGCGCGGAAAACTCGCGCGGGGATTACCTTTCAGTTTGCGCGACTGAATACTGCGCATTTGCGACCGGTTTGCGACCGATTTGCGACCAAAATTTGTTTCTGTCGGCAAAAAATGGGCGCGTCAAAAAAAGGACACATCTGAGACGAAATGAGATAAAATTGCGACCGATTTTTTGCGACCCGGCATAATTTTCCAGTCGCAGATCGGTCGCAATTTTGGCGGCATATTAAAACGACGTCGGACAATTAAAATTTTGCGACGATTTAAAATGACATTTGCGACCGATGAGTCGGTCGCAAAAATATTGGGCTTTAAACGCGCCCTCTTTTTTCCCTTTTTTCTTCTTCTCTTTCTCCTTCTCGCTCTCTCTCTTCTCCTCCCGTCCGCAGCGCGCCTCCAGCCCTCCCTGCGAAACGCTCCAGCCACTGTGACGCCGCACCGACGCTCCAGTCATCCTCTCGGCGTTCGCCACCGTTTGGACAGCATTTGAGGTACGCCGGTGACATTTTATTTTTTTTCCAATTTTTTTTTTTTTTTTGCGATTTTGTGTTTTTTTCAATTTATTATACGTTACTGGTATTACTGTTAATATTATTAATATTGTTAATCATTGTTAAATGTTTGTTAACTGTTATTATTTTTTTCGAAATTTTTTTTTTTGCGATTTTTTGTGTTTTTTTTTCAATTTATTATTATTGTTACTTGTTATTATTGGTTAATTTATTAATATTGTTAATATTGTTAATGTTGTTACTGTTATTATTTTTCAATTTATTATTATGTTAATATATTGATTCGATTTATATTAATTGTTTCGAATTATTATTATTGTTACTGTGACCTGTTTATTATATTAATAACATTAATCAAATAATGGATTTTATAATAATAAGATTAACTAAATAAAATATAATAATAATTTCATTTCAATTAAGATTTAATTGCATTTATTAAATCTTTATATAGTCCCTGTAATTATAAAAAAATTAATAAGGATTTGAAATTGAAATATATGAGAATTTCAAAATGAAAAAATAATAATTATGTCAGTTGAAATTAAAATTAATTTAATTACAATAAATAAATATTTCAATTTATTTTGGCAGAAAATGATCATATTAAGTAATGATCATATTAAAATATCATCTTTTGTTATTTATGAAAACATATAAGTAAATTATTTAAATTAAAAATACAAATTTAAATCGGCATTCATTTAAATTTATTAAAATATATATATAATTATATCAATAATGTATACATGAATAATTTATCTATGAAATTAGAATAAACCATCAATAATAGAGGGATGGAGTTGGTCAAAAATCATACGTACAAAGATTCCAAATAACATTAAAAAAAGAATTCCTTAAATATTAAATAAAATTAATTAATTATAGAAATATAAAATTATAGTAAATAAACAAACAACAAAAGATTCCTCAAAGTAAATTGGTTAACCTGGATGAGAAAGTATTGATTTTTTGTGGATTCTATTAGCATATTTACATCAATAGATAAATATTTTTTATATTAATTTTTAATAAATTGCTTAAAATTAATGAATAATGTCGGCACCCAACTCTTATTTAATATTAATGTCACTTTCAGAAATTATTTCGCAAGTTCTATACCATCTTACGTCAAATATAAAGATAAAAATACGTTGAACACAACAAATAATATAAATTTATTTGTCATTCTCATAATAAACTTACTTGTCCATGTGTTGTTACAGTTGCTTGACAAAAGTGGTGTTTTGTTATTTATTTTTTTAATAATTTCCACCGTTTCTAATGGATAACGACAACTTGTTCGAAAATGCTTTCATTATATTTCAATTAAAAATATTTTATAAAATATTTTAACATTATAAGTTAATAAAAAAAAGAAAAAGTTAACGGCTAGTTACCAAGAAACGATAGAGGTGGGCTCATTGGGGCCCAATTTAATAAGGCTGATGGTTTAAAAGGGCCCAAAGATTATGGGCTTTTATAAATACGCGTTGTTTATTAAGAGTAATTATCAAACAGTGTACTTGGCTCCACTATGCCTAAGTTAAAATTAAAAAAGAAACCTCACTAGAATTGATTTTTGCGTTTTAGGTTAATTGAAATTGAATTTTGAATCAGGTTGTGATATTGGTAATGAGTGCTGCAGTTTTTTTTTATCCTAACGTGCAACTTTGTTGTGATAATTGGTTTGTTTGAGCAGTTTCCTGTAATGATGAGTTTGGATGGAGGCCTAGTAGTGGCCATTTTGCCTTTGGAGAATGTTGATATGTTAATAGAAGTTGTTTATTGAAGTGGTCTTTCTATTTGAGATTTCATAGTGTTGTGCGAAATGCTGCACGTTGATTTTTTTTCAATAAATTCCAATAGTAAATAGTACAATTCCTTTATATATATAATATAATATTTATATATAATATAATATATATATATATATATATATATATATATATATATTATATAAACCTTTGTATTGAATAAATGAACTTAGTTATTTACATTTATCTATAGTTCCCTATTATAGAAAAATAACCTTAGTAGTTATAAGTGTAACTTGAACATTACATTAGTGGCATGTTTTAAGGCTAGATCAGAGCTAATGCAATTACATATAATTTTAAAACCTTGATAAAACACAATTGTTAAATTAGGTAACAAAAAATGCAAAATAATCGAGAATTTGGAATGTACCTGGAGGTTGAGGGTCAATGGGAATATTAAGACAAGAGTTCCTTGCACGGATTCGGAGGCGTTAATAACAGT